ATGTGAAGAATCGACGCTCCGGGAAGTCCGCAGTCTCTGAACACGTATAGGATTGCCTCCGTTACATCAGATTTGATAGACCACAAATCCTCGCTAAAGAACACCGATTCCTTCCTCTTGAGGCTATTGAAAAAAAAAGCATTCTAATTTCAATAGAGAAGATGGCTGGGTCCTACCATCTGCTTGGGATCCTATAATTAATAAAATGAAATCCCAACCCAAGCACACAACTGCCAGACTTCAAGATACTACAGGTTCATACTGCGTGGAACGGAACAAAAATTAATCATTTTAATCTGTGGGTAACCGCGGTTAACTGTGACATCTGGATGTTGAACATCTCAGTCCCTCCGTGACCATGGGTGCTGTAAAGTGCTCGAAACTTCGGGTATTTAAAAAGATAAATCTGAAAATCTGTAAAAACTAGTTTTATTTAAATGTCTAAATATAAGAAATCATTACACGCAGTTTTTTTTATAGAATTAAGGTGACAAACGAGCATACAGTCCACCTGATGGTAAGTGGATGCTGTGGCCCATAGACATCTACATTTAATCTCGATTAAGAATTAAAATGCAGATGCGTTTTCACCCCTGAGGACTAAGATGGAATGCCTAGTATCCAGTAAATGGGTTTACGGTTCTCTACAAACACCGTACAAAACACAGCGGCATCAATTTGCTATTGGATGTTTGAGATTAATCTTTGTTGAAGTTACCTAGGAGGGCTAAGTAAGGTACATAGCTTACGTTATCTCGTATATCCTTTGAGAATAATATACCATGCTTGGGTGGACTGAGACTTAACGCCTTGATGTCGTTGTTAAATCGTGCTACCAAAGAGTATGTAATCACTTGCGTGCTACATTCAGATATAATTATTACCAATTTATACTCCGAATTTCGTAGATGGAACTAACGGTATCTTGAAGCAATAACAAATACAATAAAAATATGTGAACGTTCTGGGCTAATTAAATGATCTCAAATAAAATATATTATTCCAATAGCCACAAGAATCATCCTCAGCAGGATTTAATGTTCTTTAGCGAGGTATTGTGGTCTATCAAACCTGATTTAATGCCAGGGCTGATACATATTTTAGGCTTTGACAGACTGAAGACTTAAAGCTTCTAAGTCAATAATTTTATTTTAACACTTTATAAGAAAATGTTTACATTAAAATTTTCTCTCCTGTCGTATAAGCAGCTTATATATAAATTCCACAAGAATAAACATCCAAGCCCACCATTGTCTGCAGGCCGTACAGATTCTTGTACCGTGCGGGATTCGAACCCGCGGCCCTTAGCGCTGCAACCCAATGCTAAGCCACTGCGCAACGGAGCCTGAAGCTAAGACGCTTTAAGCATTTTATGTGTATATAACGTGACCTATCTATATAGTGAGTCACCTTTGTTCAACCATTGTCTAAAGAGAGGTCGTATATGCTTTCGACTTTCAAAAATGTTGCTTATTTATTTATAGATCTTAAGTGCGTGTAGGCTAAAGAAAGCTTAATGACTTTCAATGCTGCTGTATAAAATAATAATTATTCTATTTAGGGTCTAAGTTATTTTTATTGCTATTTTTTAAGTAAAGTACAAATAATAATAATGCTATTAACTATTAAATATTACGAATTCCTTTTACCAAATGCTTGTGTAAGGAGTGTTTCATGGTTGAAGCTTATATGTGTATTGTGGAACGATACTTAATGATATTATGTAATCTATTTGCGTCTATCTCAATAATTTACTCAAGTATAACGATCTATCTCCTCTTCTTGACTTGGTATTACGTAATTATTTTAATAACTCTGGTCTTGGTCTGGCCTTGTTGTCGTGATTTCTACGATATGTTTGAATTTTTTTGTAAAAATCTGGAGGCATATAAGCGTATATTCATAAAAACTCATAGTAAATTTGCAAAAGGATACTTGTAGGCAATAAACTCTTGTTGGTTAGATTAGGTTAGGTTTTATTATACCTATACATAAAATCACTACAAATCCAAAATTAAGCAATAAGTAATAATAATAAGTAATAATAATAGTAAATAGCAATAAGTAATAATAATAGTAAAAATTTAATCTATATGCATCTATCATTATCTTTTCATAAGTATGAAGATATTCATGTAAACATTTGTTAGTTACGTTGATGTTCTAAATCTATGGATCATACATCTCGACGAGTTAATCACTTTTTTGACGGATTTTCAGGCGAGCAGCGGAGTCTTTTAGTAATAAATTTTAAATTTTTGAAAAGGTGCTTCAAAGAACTTTTAGTGGATACTTCATGATGGAATTAAAATACATAAAAATAAAACTTTATTTTTCTACAAGAATGACGATAAACAAAAACTAAGTCCACCTGATGGTAAGTAAATACTATCTCACCTAAAGACTAAATCCTACTAGTCATAAACGTCATCACTCTGCTAGTCATAAACGCAGGGTCACGTGAAAAATTTGTTATTCGATTTTAAGGTAAGGAATTCTCAGTTGCAGCCCAAAATCATGAAGTTGACGGTGTTTCGGAGAGCAAGTTAATTCGTTGGTTCTGCGCCTGATTTCTTTTTGGTCGTGTCGGATTACCACTCCATTGAATACTATATACTACTATCGTGCATTATAATCGTGTCCTGCGCAGATTGCGAGTTACCGTTGAGTCTGGCCGCCATGTTTGATTTTCGTTTTAGGAGATATCATCAGTTACCAACATCTAACTACGCTTAAGAATCGAAATACTCTTGCGTTGTCACCCCTATTGACTGAGATGGAATGCTTCGTTACCTCTTAAAAAGGTTTCTGATTTTAGTCACTCACCATACAAAACAGAATAGAATTATGCTGCTATTACAAGCTTTTTTTTATAGAATAAGGGTGACGAATGGTTCAATAAAATCAAGCAATTTTCAGTAAGGACTTGGAATGCCTCCTTTCCAGTAAAACAGCATCTCCAAATCTCTACACACACCATACGATACACATCAGTAATAAGCTGCTATTTCACGCTGGTATTCTGTGCAAACATGGTTCTTCTCTAGTCGAGTCTTAACTATTCGTGCTGTATCAGCTAGTTTATCCTTTTTGCTTGTTTCAGAAGATTTTGATGTTCTCAGAAACTTAAAACTCCATCATCATTTCTGTCTCCAAAAACCAGGGCTTACACATGTGTCAATCATGAATGATTCGTTCGTTTGAGCTGGTGCACTTAAAATTATTGATGATTCATTCATCTGTTTTTGAATGTTCCGGTACAACCAATCACAACAATTGACTGAACCTTTTTAAATCGTGATTGTTGTGAATTGTGAATGAGTCGAAAATGGACCGAATCCCGAATAATCTGAATGAATTGTTTTTAGTGTAGGATTCATTTGAATGATCGATCCGAATGTACCGTAAACGTGTCGAAATGTACTAGAATGATTCGTTCACGAGAAATGAATGATTGACACATGTCTACTTACACAGCCGTGTTCCGGTCTTAAGGGTATATAGAGCTGGTATAATTACAGGCTGTGAGGTATTCCATCTTATTCCTTAGAAGTGACAACGCATCTGTAGCTTAACTTGTTTGAAGTTGACTACAGGTGTCCATGGACAGTAGCCACTTACCATCAGGTGGACTGTAAGTTTGTTTGTCACTTCGTTTAAAAAATCAACAATAATAAAAGTTGTTATAATTTGGTTTTAATTGAAATGTTCGTTCTTTTTAATTGAATTCAGATTTTTGTATTTACTTAAAAAGAAAACGCAATAATATTAATAATTAATTTTAATTCTAGATTTTTCTTTTATGACGGTGTCTAAAATTCTTACTGTCAAACGATCTTCAATTAAAAATAGGGGCGTTCAATAAAACTGAGACTGAGTTATTTTAATTTTCGACATCAGTTTTCGACCAAAGTCGTTTAGTATTTCACATTTCTTAGGTCTCTGTTCAGGCGATCTGAGTGAGAGTTATCTTCGGTGAAGGTTCTTTCAAGTATTTGTACACTTAGCGCGTAGTTCAAATAAAGAACTTTGTAACCAATCGAAAACAAATGCTGTACTAGTATACGTGGTAGAACCGCGTTGCAGCTGTACTATGATTGTAGAAATAATGTGCCGGCTCTACTGGTATGTGATGGAATTCCTAGCATAGAATAGCAGCGTAATGCTGCTGTGTTTCGTATGGTGCGTGTAGAGAACCGGAGACCATTTTTACTGGAAACGAGGCATTCCATCTTAGATCTCAACGCATCAAAACGCAATTTGATTCTTAATCGGATAAATGTAGATATCCAGGGGCCACAGCATTACCATCAGGAAGACTGTTTACTTATTCGTCACCCTTATTTAAAAAAATATTTGTAATAAAAATGTAATCTTTTGTTTCTTAGATATGTGTAAGATAAAGCTTTACCAGACATAATTCATAATTCATAATAATTTATTTGCATAGAATGTAGGTAGATATTACAAGAGTATTATTAAAACATGAAAGTTCCTTATCGAGACGTGCAAATTTTGACTAATTGGATATAACAATTTTTTAATGAATTTAACTTATTTACGAATATCAAAATATTCATATGTAAAAACAGTAAAATTAACTAACTAATAATTATTCTAAAACTGTCGAAGTCCTTTATACATTCACAGCTAAAAATTCCAGCATTTTTGGATACGGATATTTAAATATGTAATTTGTTTTGATTTTTGTGATCAAGATACTCATTAACAGTATAGAAACAATTAAGTAAAAGCCATTCGTGAAGTTTGTTTTTTAACTTTGTCATTGGGAAATTTTTAAAATCGTTTGGAAAAGTTTTATTCTGTTATTAGATTTTTCTCTTAAACTTCTATCTCTTAAAAATTATCTGACAATATTTACTTTCTTAATTCCAAAAAGTTAATACTGCATTCATACTTTTCTTGTACGGCCCTGTACTTTGTTTTAGATAATAAAGGTGTTATAGTAATAGGAAAGTCATTATCATTTACGTTTTCAGATACACCAAATCAGCAAACGGTAAAAGGCGACAATGTAAACAACATGCAGCAACAATCTTACTGCCAGCCCCGGGAATATGCCCCGCCCGTGCCTCAGGGTTCTGGAATGTACCCCGGGCCTCCACCCCACTGGGAAGCGCCGGTATACGAACCGGCCGGGGATATTTCTTGCTTGTGAGTCCTTCCCAGATCTTGATTTGGATCCTGAAAATCGCCTTCTGAATCCTTCTTTAATAGCATTTTTATTTACATCCATTTTTTTCTCCAATTTTTGCAATTTTTTAAAACATTATTTTATTTATATGTTTAATATTTTTTGCATTATATAGCCCGTTTTGGCTTTCTAGTATTTCCTAAACTGACCAACCCTTTGACTCCCCAATCCTTGGCTGCGTAGCAGTGTACTTGGTTTCTTAAAGGTGTCAAAATTACAATGCTTGTCGTTAAGGTAAAAATAGTTACATAAAGTAAATTTTATATCTATGTGATAATAAATATTTTACGGCAACATTTTAAGTGTTTGTTTTAATTTGCCATCTGCTTTGTGACAAGCCAAAATTAGATTTAAGGGGCAACGTTTGGTTGAAATTGTTTTATTTTTCTATTTTCTATAAAATGTGTAAAGTAAATAAAGACTTGTTCTTTTAGATGTTTGGTCTTTGAATAGGCAGTATCCTTCCTGTGCCTTAGTTGTTTAAAATTGTGTAAATTTATATGGCAACGATACTGCCTATGCAAAACAGGATTATCGTTATTGTTTTAGTCTTGATTTATTGTTTTTATAGCAGTAGGTAAGTGTATTTTGTTAGCTTAAAGAGGCCAAGGTGAATGTTAGACTGCTGTCGCTGCCATCCCTTCCCTTTTTGTTTTCCTCCCTTCGCCCGGGCTGCCTAGATTTATTTGAAATATGATTTTTAGGTGCCTGCGAGATTTCAGAACCCTTTATTAATGTTGTTTACATTGTCGCCAGGTATGCGAGTTTTCATAATTTTGTCTGATATTTAAATACATAAAACGATTGAATAAAACTATTATTTACGGATTTTATCGCGTTTAATATCTTTAATTTATTTTTATTATTATCCCGACGTTTCGGGTGCTTTACAGCGCCCATGGTCACGGGGGGGACTGAGATGTTTGACGTCCCAATGTCATAGTTAGTCCGGCTACCTTCAGTTTTTTAATATTAATTTTTGGTCCGATTTACGCAAAACGAGCTTATAGTATCATGAAGTCTTGCAGTGGTATGCTTGGGTTTGGGTTTCATTTTGTTGATTATAGGATCCCAAGCAGATGGTAGCACCCAACCATCTTCTCTATTGAAATTTGGATGTTTTTTAATTTCAATAGCCTCGCGTATCATCCTTGGTAGGAATCGGTGTTCTTTTGCGAGAATTTGTGGTTTATCAAATCTAATGTAATGGTGGGGACGATCTTGAACATGTTCGCAGACTGCAGACTTCCCGGAGCGTCGGTGCTTCACATCAGCTATATGTTCCTTCACGCGGGTTTTTATAGATCTCTTTGTTTGACCTATGTAAGAGAGACCACATTCACAATCTAGCTTGTACACACCTGCATCTTGTAGAGGAATATTACATTTGATGGATGGTAAAAATTGACTAATCTTCTTCAGCGGCTTGTAGTATGTCTTAATGGACGCTCGCTTCAAGATGTAGCCAATCTTGTCCGTGACTCCTCCAACATATGGTAGTAGAGCAGGTGCGCGCTCGACTGTTGCCGGCTTCACTCGTTCACTGTGACGTAGGCGCGGGACCCGAAGCTTGTTGTCTTGCAATACTTGCTTGACGTGCTGAAGCTCCGCGGCCAGATGTTTTCTGTCACAGATCCCTCGTGCTCTCTGAAACAAAGATTTACCCACGGTAGCTAACTGTGAAGGATGATGGTGAGATTCACCATTTAGATATCGGTTGGTATGGGTCTTTTTCCTATACACAGTGTGACCAATAGTGTTATCAGGATTTCGGATGACTAAAACATCTAGGAAAGCTAAAGAATTATTTGCCTCTAACTCCATTGTGAATTGTATTTTAGAGTTTATGGAGTTAAGGTGGTCTAAAAATGCAGTTACTTTGTCAGATGGTAAAATTGTGAAAGTGTCGTCTACGTACCGCTTGTAGAACCTTGGATTTACAGGAGCAGTAAGAAGGGCTTTCTCCTCAAAGTCCTCCATGAATATGTCGGCGACTATGGGAGACACAGGTGAGCCCATCGCCACACCATCTACTTGCTTGTAGAACTCCTCCTTCCACAATAGATAGCCAGATGTGAGGCAATGTTCAAGTAGTATTGCATATTCTTGAGGCATGTTATTTTCTTCTAGCTTCCTACTTACAATTGAGATGCAGTCCACAATAGGTAGGCATGTAAATAGTGACTGAACATCAAAACTGACCATAGTTTCATTGTTAGCGAGATGTAGGTCTTTTATCTCACTCACAAAATGGTATGAATCCTTTGTGTGTGCTCTGGTATGTCCTCTCAGTGGTGATAGTATTTTTGCTAAGTATTGTGCCAGCTTATAAGTTGGTGAATCGATCTGGCTCACTATGGGACGTAGTGGAGCGTTTGGTTTGTGTATCTTCGGTAACCCATACAACCTCGGTGGTTTGGCACATGATGGTATTAGCGAATTCACGTCGAGATTTAATTTTTCGGAGTATTTCTTTATTAAATCGCTAGTTGTTTTAAGCGTGTTAGTTGTAGGGTCTGTTTTGACCTTTTTATATGTACTTTCGTCCGATAAAAGTTGTTGTATTTTAAAATTATATTCCGACGTGTCCATTACTACCGGGTTTTTTACCATCCATCAAATGTAATATTCCTCTACAAGATGCAGGTGTGTACAAGCTAGATTGTGAATGTGGTCTCTCTTACATAGGTCAAACAAAGAGATCTATAAAAACCCGCGTGAAGGAACATATAGCTGATGTGAAGCACCGACGCTCCGGGAAGTCTGCAGTCTGCGAACATGTTCAAGATCGTCCCCACCATTACATTAGATTTGATAAACCACAAATTCTCGCAAAAGAACACCGATTCCTACCAAGGATGATACGCGAGGCTATTGAAATTAAAAAACATCCAAATTTCAATAGAGAAGATGGTTGGGTGCTACCATCTGCTTGGGATCCTATAATCAACAAAATGAAACCCAAACCCAAGCATACCACTGCAAGACTTCATGATACTATAAGCTCGTTTTGCGTAAATCGGACCAAAAATTAATATTAAAAAACTGAAGGTAGCCGGACTAACTATGACATTGGGACGTCAAACATCTCAGTCCCCCCCGTGACCATGGGCGCTGTAAAGCACCCGAAACGTCGGGATAATAATAAAAATAAATTAAAGATATTAAACGCGATAAAATCCGTAAATAATAGTTTTATTCAATGTGTAGTGTTCGCGTAAATTTAAGAAATCATTACATAAAACGAGTTAGATAAAGATAGACTGGACCGAAACAAATAACGTTTTAACTTTTCTAAATTTACGTAGATGCTATCACTGTTTTTTGGTAAAGACGTTTAAAATGATTCTTTTGTCCAGTTTGTCAACGTTGATAAAAATTAAAAACACTTTACAATAATTCTATTCGTATTTCAATTTAAAGTTATTTAAAAATTATAAGGTTGAAAGATTCCATATATTTGTTGATGTAGAGATACATCTTACGTTTCTATGTATGTATTTACTCGTAAATTTTTGTTTAGATTTGTTCTAGTGTAATGTTAGCTATCTGGGTTTTGTTTTAAATATGGAGCCTCGTATGTATTATTCAGATCATTAATATTGATATTTTCTCATTCACATATATAATTTTTAAAGGATTTTGGTGTTTAACGTATTTTGGTACATTAATTGTTCTTATAATACACATGAAGGCTCCTTTTGTAGTAAATGTTACTAGCAGCATGGTTGTTGTCCGTAGACGACTTTATAAGGACTAAAAAAATTTGCAGGAATATTTTATATGTAAATTTATTAAAAAAAAAAAAAACTCGAAATCGCAGAGTACTCCAATTTATTCTTTTTTTCAATCTAATTTGCCAAATGCTGGTTAAGAAATGCGTTAGGTGAGGATTAACTGTGAAGATGAGAATAGCACCTTAAAGCTGCTATGGTCAGTATGGTGAGTATAGAGAACTGGTTTACTGGAAACAAGGCATTCCATCGCAGTACTCAGGTGTGATAAAGCATCTGCGTTTTGATTCTTAATCGAAGATAAATGTAGATGTCTATGGGCCACAGCATCCACTTACCACTGAGTGAACTGGGGACCTCTTTGTCACCCCCATTCTATAAAAAAAGAGTAATTTAAAAAATAACCTTAATTGCTTTTAGCTGTTTTTAAAACTTTATAATTATTTAAAATTTTGTTTAAATAAAAAAGAATTTAAAATAAATGAAGTTAATGTAGTACATTTTACTACTATTGTTTTATGTAACTCATTAAGAACTTCATAAATTAATAACGTTGGAGTTTGATGAAGTAAATATTTTTATCCAACAGAGTAAAAGAAATAAGAAGTTAATTATGTTACAACACATGGACATAGAAAAAAATCTATCAGAGTTCCATATGACTGCGGAATTCTAAAAACAATTTTTCTTAATGTTGCTTATCTGAGTATGACCCTTGTTGTTTATTCTATTTCTCATAAGATATTAATTGCCATCGTTTCTTTTGTTACAGCGGCCCAGATTCCACAGAGAGGCAGTAAGTAACATTTTTCTTTCTTAACATTTAGTTATATTTTCTGTTATTGTGTACGTGTACATTTACGTCGTTACATTTATGTCCGTGGGGAAGCTTTTAAATCAATAAATTTGGTAATTTTTTGTTAATTTGATAATTGTCAACAGACAAATAATATTTATTTCATTATTAAATTTATTCCAAATTTTTGTGTTTTACATAAAATAAACCTAATGCTCATTTTTTTGTATTAGAATATTATACATATTTCGTATTTAATATCCTTGACTGGCTCGTTAGTCTAGCGGTTGTAGTAGTGCCACTGTTGATCATGTGGTCCTGGGTTCAAATCCCGGGTAGGGCCAAAAATCAATTATTAAGTTTTTTCGTCAAGAAATTCTCAGTAGCTGCCCGGTGTCAGGAAGTTGGTGGTGCCCCACCCCCATGCCTCGGAAAGCACGTAAAGCCGTTGGTCCTGCGCCTGATCTCTCTCCGGTCGTGACGGTTTACCGTTCCATCGGATTATGAGAGTGAGGGAATAGAGAGTGCACCTGTACTTGCGCATACACTTGGACACAATAATCCTGTCCTGCGCCGATGGCTAGTCTCCGATGAGGCTGGCCGCCGTGACCGAAATTTGGTCTGGAGGACTTTTATTTAATTTAATATCCTTAAAAATAGTAAGCTTCTCAAGTCGCAACTTCGTATCGATAAGCGGAGTGTACGGCGGGCTCATACTAGATGGAGTGACGTCCTGATAAGAGATGCAGGAATTCGATGGATACAGGAGGCTCAGGACCGGGCTTTGAGGCATTCCTTGGAGGGTCCGATTATCTGCAGTGGACTTGTGAGTGGCTGTAATGATGATTATCATCCTTAAAATAATGTTGTTTTCTTTTTATTTATATTTTCTCACGATTTCATGACGAAAGTCGTAAAATCATGAAGAAATTGAGAAAGAACTGATTTATATCTAATTAAAATAATATTCATCGAAACAAGTCGAAATGTGATGAAATATAAGGACGAAATTAGCTTAAGGCCAAAAAATTCGATTATGTAAGAGAAAATATAGCAATCACCGTGCTTACATATCATCCCGTGGGTGTCGTAAGAGACGACGGAAGGAAGCAAATCAGGAGATGAGCGGCAGCGTCTTCCTAATAACGACTAAAAATAAAAACTGCGGTTGCCAACCTACTTGCAGAGCGTGACTGGGGTAAAAATGCCCCCATCAGGCAATCTATAGAGGAGGTCTATGTTTAGCAGTGAACTTTAAAAGACTGTAACAGTAACGGGCATTGTACCGGGTGTACATTTTACTGTGTAGTGCCAGTATCAGAATATGACGATGACCTTGATCCGTGGGTGTCCTAAGAAGTGTCAGGGAGAAACAAACCAGGAGATAGGAAGAGCTTCCTTCTAATAATAACTAATAAAACAAAAAACTGCCATTGCCAACCTGCTTGCAAGGCGTGGCAGCTATGGAAAATATATCTGAATACTAATCAAATATACCAGCGTAAAATAGCTTCAAATTGGCTTCTTAATGCTCCTGTGTGTCCTATAGTGAGTGTAGAGAACCGAAAACCCTTTTTACTGGATACGAGCCATTCTATATTAGTCCTCAGGCGTGACAACGCATCTGCATTATGAATAGATTTTTTATAGAGGATAAATGTAGATGTCACTGGGTCACAGTATCCATTTACTTTATTTAATATATAATATCCATTTTCTTTATTGATAGGGTGACATACTAGCACACAGTCCACCTAATGGTAAGTGGTTGCTGTGGCCCATAGACATCTACATCCATCCTCGATTACGAATCAAATATATGATGCTGATATGAGATATAAGATGGAAACCCACCAAAATGCCATAAAAAGGATCTCCGGTTCTCTATACTCACCATACGAAACACAGCAGCATTAGCTACTATTTTACGCTGGTATTCTGTGAGAGCGTGGTCCTTCCCCGGTCAAGCCGACCCATCCGTGCTATAACTATACTACTATTATAACTGCAACATGGCTCTACCACCATATGCCACCATGGCCATAGAGCTTCCTCGATTAAAATCAAAATGCAGATGATTTTGATTGTAATCAAGGACAAATGTAGATATCTATGAGCAACAGCATCCATTTACCATCAGATGGAATGTGTTTGTTACCCTTATTCTATAAGTCTCATATGAGGCAATCTATGGGGAAAGCAAATGTTCATAAGTGGGCTTTCGATAGGCTGAAAAAATTAGATTTAGGTGTCGCAAGAATTTAAAAAAAATTGACTAATCGATTGCAGTCACGATGTGCCCAAATGACCGAGTTAGATAATCAAGCGAGACAACTGCAGCTTTGTTGATAACAATAAAAAAATCGAAATAACTTTATTCTTGTTTCCTTTATCTGAAGGAGTAGCATTTTTAACGCTCTTTTAATAGCTTCGTGTGTATTTATTTGTGTAACGGAATTTTTAATGTAATTTTCACCAACTTGTAGACGGCTGATAGATTTGAAAATTATACTCGTATCAAGGACCAATGACAATACATTAATTTTATAACTTTATTCTAATATCCTAATAAAAATTGCGAGGATAAAATAAAATAATTACACGCTTTATATAACGTTGTCCTGTAAGTATGTATTATAAATGTGATGGAATTTTGTAATTTAGTTTTCACCTACTTCTAGAAGTCTGAGTGATTTGAAAGTTTTCAGACGTATTCTCCCTAGGATTATCACAGTCCATGATCAATGTGGGTTGTTTAAGTTTTTAAAACTTTAATATTATTTTAATATTAGAATTTATTTAACATGAGAAATAATGCAGCTATTGTGGTGTTTTGTTTGCTAGACGCCGGTATAACTAAGTGTAGTTTAAGTAATTTTAAAAGGTTCCTAGTTTATATAATAATTTATTTATGAAAAGAGCAACAAAACGTACATAGTGGAATTAAGATTTCATCGCTAGAAAAATTAGTTTCTCTTACGTCAGAAACAGCATGCATTGATCACTGAATCACCCATGTAATGAGTATTGTTCATTGGCTTATATATATATTTAAAAAACGCTTCATTTTCCTTTACGAGCCGTTTTACAGTAGTTATAAAGCTTTTTTTTAATTATGTTTTTCATATCTTTCATTTAATTACACTCTTGTAAATTATATGAAATAAAAACTCTGTATCATTCAATGTAGGAGATTTTCTATTACTGTAATACTATTTACCGTTGGACCTGTCTTGTTCCTTGCTTCTTAATTCCTAAAGTCCTTTATGGGACAATGACCATTTGCCAAAAATCTGAACTTTTATTGGCTGCTTCCCATCGTCGGTCTCAGTATTTTTATCTTGCAAAAATAAGATAGTTATCTTTTTGACGCAGAGATATTTAAATATTGAGCAATCGTTTTTATTCTTTTAGTCGGCTTGACTATCAAAGACATAAAAAATAAAACAAGCATTTATTATTTCTTACCAACACGTTACTTTATTATTCTTTTTAATTTTATGACTTCTAAATGAAGGGCGTGCTATCAAACGTGAAGTTACAGCTTATAATATAAGTCCCATTGATGGCTGATGATGATGATACTTACAGGCTTTCTCTTATTTCTAAGCGAGTTTAAGGGCAAGAAAATATCCGTCGCACTGCCTCTATGCATGTTAGCGGACTCAGTTTCTCAGTTTCCAGGTATTATTTTAAACTATAGTACATGAGGGTAATATGATTATACAGTAAATATGGCCATTTCCTTAAAACTCAAAAACTAACAGCCTTGTTTGCATAGATAGTTCTGTGATATGATAGCTCTTCATCGGTCAATCAAATAATAAAGAGTCAAAAGAGCGATGCTTTATAGACGCCATTTTGACAGTTGATATTATAGTAAATATTTAAGTCGATTTTAGTTAGTTTTTTTTGAAGTGTTCGTAATTATTGCCAAAGCTTGTTTGATGTTTTTTTCTCAATATATTAGTTATAGTATTCGACTTTGTGTTTTTGCCTCTGTCTTTCTCCTACTTTTAATTTTGTATGCTTAAGATGACCATATTACCCTCACGTGCTTTATATATAAAATGTTAAACAGCCTCGTATGATTGTTTTATACGTGGTAGTCACGATGCAGCTATATTTTAATTGTAATACGAATGGGTCGGCTTAATCGGGGAAGGACTACGCTCTCACAGATTGCCGATTGCCAGCGTAAAATAACAATTTAATGTTGCTGTGTTTCATGTGGTAAGTGTAGAGAACCGGAGACTTTTTTTACTGGAAACGAGGCATCCCATTTTAGTTTTCAGGGGTGACAACGCATCTGCATTTTAATTCTTATTTAAGGATAAATGTAGATGTTTGTAACAGCATACAATTACTATCAGATGGACTGTGTGATCGGTTTTCTTTCATTAATACGTTTACAGGGAAGTAATGGAGTGATTACCAAAGTAATGGAGTGCAAAGCGAGTCGATTACCACGACTTTTCCTCTTGCCCTAAAATTAATCTTGTCAAAAATTTCATTAGACACGTGATCTACTTTTATTACTCGAGTATTTCACTTTGTTTATTATACATAGTTCAAGTGTTTCAAAGGTGCGAATAGCCAGGAATTGTTCATCTCTTGTGTCAATAACTCTTGTATTTTTCTACCAGTATATTATTAAAATATAATGATTTTTCATAGCTATAGGCTTGGAGTGCTACTTATCTTACTTAAACTAATCCAAATTGCGGTTATGATTCTCAGTAAAAATAAATAAAATAATTTATTTGGCTCTATAACCGTTTTAATCATCATACTGGCCTAGAACTAAACATTAAAGAGATCTTTTTTAATATACAATTTAGCTTGTTTGCTAATTGGCTATTAAATATTATTATATTATTCATTATTCATAACAGCCTATTAAAGTTCACTGCTAAACATAGTCCTTGTAGGCATTCTATGAGGAGCTCCCTATAAAATGCTTAGAAAGCGTACTCACACCATTTAAAATAACCTTTTTCCCAAGCCGAAAGTATTATTGCGCGCCACAATTAATGCCTGGTACATGGCGACATTAATAACCACTAGCACCCTCTCGTATCGAGTAGCAGAACTAGGAGAGTCAAAATCCTTCTACAAATTTCCATGATAGAACTTTCTACATCTAATCAGTCGGGACCTGATTATACTAGAACATTCTAGATGTTTATAGCAAAAGGGCTTTAAAGCGGTATAATCGCAACCATAAAAGGGATATTTGCCATAGTTGGCAACCACAGCTTTTTATAGTTTTTAAGAAAGAAGTTTCGTCTACCTCTGGTTTTTTCTCTCTTAACCTATTAAGTTATAGGGCAGGGAACAGTAAAAAATGAACGTACATAATTAAAACATTTAATCAAATTTTTAAAGTAAAACAATAACTTTATAAGTGAAAAATTACATTGTTATTATAATACTTATAATATTTATATTAAAATGGAATAACGACTAACAAAATGACGTAACATTCCAGGTTGCAAGCGCAAGGAGGACATGGGTACGGATATGCCTTCCCCGAAGAAGCCGCGTTTGGTTTTCACAGACCTCCAGCGGCGTACTCTACAGGCTATTTTTAAGGTACTATAGATTTATCACATCATATCGTATCATAGGTATCAAGCTATGATATCGTCATCGAATAAAGAAAACAGCCTAAATGTCACTGCTGGTTCAATAATAATATCTCAAAAATCAAAAGCAATTTCCTTTTATTTCTGAGCTGAATTAACATTAAATTATATTACAAACTTCAATAGTGTTGGTGGGGATCGAAATGAGCAACCACGGTTCCAAGTAGCAAAGCAGTAATTATATTTGTCATTTAAGAAATATTATTAGAATGATCGGTCAAATAGCTTGAAGAATCGACAATCAGTGAGTTCTCGAGTGGCAGCTCAAAACCGTGTTTTGTGGCATTTATTTTCATTTCCATTCGGCTTCCATTCATTTTATACGTGGTAGAACCACGCTACGGCTATATTATGGTTTTAGCACAAAATGGTTCGGCCCGACTAAGGTAGGGATCACGTTCTCACAGAATACCGGGGTAAAATAGCAGTTTGATGCTGCTCTGTCGAGAATGATATCGATATGAGGATAAATGTAGATGTCTATGGGCAAAACATACACTTACCTTTAGGTGGACTGTGTACTAGTTTATAACATCATTCAATAAAGTAAAAAAAGAAAAAAAAAACATCAGCAGTACTTTTTACACTGGTGTTCCGTGAGATCGTTGCCTAGTTAAGCCAACGTATTCGTGCTAGGGCAGCTGTAATGAAGTTGCGGCGTGCTCTGCTATGAATACTTCATTCATTTATTACAGCCAAGCAAAGTTCAACGTAGCCTACCTTGGATTAGCCTCGTAAGGGGGATATTTCAAAGAAAAATACAAAGGGATTAATTCCAACATATCTACACACATAGCAAATTACAATTAAGAATAAAACTAGTGACTTATTAATAAACAAACAAAAAATAAAAAAGGAAATGAAATAAAGAAAGAATTGCATCAAAAATTAACGGTCTGTAAGTGCGTAAATCGTTAATTATACGTTTGTATACAAACATATTATATTCAAACAAAAATCGTGTGCTATGATGAAGTGGTGGAAGGGACCGTCTCAGCTTAAGCCACAATATTACAGCGCTGATTTTCAGCCCGCCCCAAACAAGTTCGGACGGCCAACTTTATACGAGAGAGTAATTTTTTTAAAACCTGTGTTCTATACCACATGTGATTTGTGCCGTAGATGGCAGTAAGTAGAGTCCCTACGTTTTACTAAAACATTTATTATATGTATAATACAAGTGCGTCAGATAACTTCTTACGTAATTTGATACTCAGATATTCACGTATCCTACTACAATAACGGATAGAAGTAGTTGCTAACAACACCAGCAATGTTATCTTCGACTTTGTGGTCAGGGATAATTATAACTCCTAGGTTATGGTTCTGTTTCTAAAATAGTTTCCTTTACATATACTGTTGGATTAAAATAATTTATTATTTCTATTTGTTTATTACCATAAATTAAAAACTTCGTCTTTGACGTATTCAACACTAGATAATTTTTTTTCTGACCACTTCAGTACTCTATCGAGATCTTCATTGAGGTCCCGTATAGCTTTCCCAGTATTCATGGACTTAGGTATAAACTTGAGTATCGTCTACATATATATGGTATTTACAATTTTTAAACCAACGTTAATGTCCGAAGTATACAATGAAAACAGTACGTGGCCCAGAATTGATACTTGGGGAACACCTCTTTTAATCTGCTGAGGAGATGATGGGCCATTTTCTTTTTCATTCTATTATTTGTTGTGACCGCATACCATTTTATTGTCTTTGGATCAAAACCATAATGCCATTTCGGATAAAAGTATTTGGCATAGTTGTCAAGTTTGGCAGGCGGTTTGACACACACAGTTTTTTATTCTCTATTTTTTTTAATCTCCACTAGGTAATAAGATTATTATTATTACCTAGCGGAGATTAAAAATTTTCGTTCGTACAATCGTTATTCGCAATCAAATTAAGACATAAATAAATACTTTTTAGAAGAATTTAGAAATGAGGATATCCGCAGTAGAACGGATTAGTAAGCTGAAGTGGCAATGGGCCGGCCATTTAGCTCGATGAACCGACAACTGATAAGGAAAAAAGATTCTGGAGTGGCAGCCTCATACTGGTAGGTGAAGTGTAGGGTGGCCCCCACTAGATGGAGTGACGACCTCGTAAGACATGCAGGAAGTCGATGGATGCAGGTGGCTCAGGACCGTGATTTGTAGCATTCCTTGGAGAAAGCCTATGTTCAGCTGTGGACTTGTAAAGGGCTGAAATGATGATGTCGTTGATGATGAAATATTTTAAAATTTTTGTCTGTCTGTCTGTCCGGACAGATAAAACAAGAAAGCTAATCTTTGGAATGGCTGTATCGATTGTAATGAAACTTTACCGAACAAATAGAAAGCAATGGCAGTTGTGACCGTAGGATATATTTTATTAGAAAATCTTAAAGATTTTTTGTGAAAAAAAAAATAACAAAACTTGATAAAGCTAGATCAATGGATACTTTCCAGGCGGGTCGCTAGTTGTTAACATTTCATATAATTTTGCACGATTTTAATATATTGATTTTCTAAATTTCCAGGAAACAAAGAGGCCGTCAAAAGAAATGCAAGTGACGATAGCAAGGCAGCTTGGCTTGGAACCGACCACAGTCGGAAACTTTTTTATGAATGCGCGTAGAAGATCGATGGACAAATGGAAAGATGACGACGCACCGTCATCTGAATTAGATACGCAATGCGAGAGTCAAGATTTGGACCATGTCCCCAGCTTGGACTCTGCGGAGTCTGAGGAGGACCATGATGACCAAGATGACCATCTCTTGTGACGCCGTATACCACAACACCATCTTCTAGTGCTTTGAAACAAACATTAAATTGTTGGAGTTGTACCTTCTGTTTTCGAATGCTTCATAGCAAAAACGAAAGTATCTGATGTACAGATCAATATTGTTGTTGATTCTTCGGTCTTTAGATCAGTTGACTTTAAAACGATTCTATTTTGAGATATAATAGAAACTAATGATTTTGTAATAACATTCAACATAAAAGATATTACAACTACTGGTAAAACATAATTGTAACATTTTCAGGTAGTTGCCGTCACAATAAAGCAAATATTAATAATGATGCATTATTGTGACGTATGAAGATGTATAAATTTAAAGCATTCGGAATCTCAAGGCAACTTTTAGTAGATGGTGTGCAATCAAACATTCAAAGAGAACTCTTGTGCGACGGTATAGCAAATGTTAGTTGGATACTGTTACTGACGTATTGATCTCTCAATATCTAAACGTTTCTAGTCAAACGTAATCGAATAGATATAATTAAGTTGTTCTTCAGTATATTTAGAATTACGTGTATGTTTATTTATTTTAAGTGTGAAATTACCTGGATACACCTGCATCTCCCCGTTTGATAGTCTTGTAAAAGCATTATAATATGTTGTAAGTACGGAAATATTACTCCAATTTAAGTGCAGTTATTTTCATTTCATTTTAAATATTTATCTCTCTTTTCTAAATTAAATAAACGACACCAATTATATTTAGCGAAATGTTTTATCGATTCAAATAAAATTTTACTCTTTCTGAAGATTTATGTTTATTGTTAACTACACAGATAGCATATTTAAGTAAAGTATGCTATCTGTACAATTAATTATAAATGTAATTGAAACTTTAACTTTTAATTAGACGATTAGTATAAAAGGGAAATGATAAAAATGCTCTTCAAATAAACAAAGATATCAAGAATTATCTTTCATACGCTTAAAATGAATATCTAATATATATATATATATATATATATATACAACATGTAACATAATTAACGCACTCTGAGAAAGTAGTTTGTTCAGAATCGTTTACTGAATCGATTCCTATCATTTCTAATATAGGTAATTTTTTATCCCAAAAATAATTAAAACTACGTAAATTACAGTCACACTAAATCTGTACAGTCCAAACAAACTGAAATGGACCGTAACTTAAGGCAACAAGACATTTAAGAGTGCAGTTTTATTTGTATTATTACTAATTCTCTCATTCAATAAAAATAAAGAAAAATTAACTTTATTTCAAGCACGTTAAAGTCTTTGCGTTCGTGGATTTGTACTGTGACCACAACATTCTTCCGGAATTAGTATAACTAATTTGATAAATAATCAGTGCATAAAAATGTTTAACTAAAATTCAGTGCATGTATTATGATTATAACATAATATACTAATTGGGGTATGTGAGGGTGTGCGTTAATTACATTACATATTGTAAGATATATATGGATTAGAGTTCATAATATTTGCAAAAAATTAAACTGTTTGCACACACAGAGTCCTTAGTGACTCTTCACACTTTTTCAAAAATTATGTTTCTTTCTGTTAAATTTCGGTTAAATAATATTATGAGTATATATTAAAATAATCCATTTACTTCTTTTAGTATCAAATAGGGAGATTGAGTGTGTTCAGGTGTTCTCAAGCGTTCTAGTTAATAGAAAACGCAATAAGATGACAAAGTTGTTACGTTCTTATTGAAACATGTAATTTTACTAGAGGAAATACAAATAGTAAAAATGCCCGATCAAATCGGACGATTAAAACGGTTAAGTAAATATAATTTAGTAGAATTTTTCAAACGATATCAGGCATTGTTGTGAGCATATTTTCAAAATCAAAAAATGCTTCAGACTACAATATATTTTGTTATGGTTAATGCGTATATTTTCATTTAGAAATTTAGGAGTTTGTTCATTTTAATTGTAATGCGAGAAATTTGTACAAATTAAGTCACTGACGTAAATATTTACAATAAACAACGTATATTTTGTATATATTGATGTTCCCTTATCAACAACAGGAATGTAAATATTTACGAAGATGACATTATTCTCTAGTCAAGAGATCTCATTACATTCCAATAAGTATATTGTCAGTGCGATACTACGTCAAATACCGTGAAAGCAAAATCGTGCGTGATATTACTTAAAGTTAAAATAATTAGATATATGAAAATTATGTTAAGGCGGCTTCAGTGAATGTAAGCGTGATGGAGATGATCTAGTCCGAGTTGTGCAACGTAGTATATTTATTAATACCAATATCAATAAAATAAAGCTTAAATAATATAAATAAGGACGCGAGTATGGGAGGAGCGTTTGCAATTGTCGTCTCTTTTTAAAAATATAACCTCTTGTTTTGGCATTTAAAAGAGGCTTTATGGAGAAATGCCATAGTCTCTTTGTATTTTTAAAGAAGAAAAACATATAAACGCGATAGCAGTTGTTCAATTGTAATTGATAAAAAGCTCATAATTACATTCCAACTTATTTTGTATGTAAGTATATTGGAATTAGTACAATATTAAAAGACAATTATTTTATTTTATTCAAGTTTTTTTTCATTTTTAATATTATTTAGATAAATTATTATTAAGTTATTTTTTAAAGAATGTGAGCTAGTCTTAAAAGTATATTTGTTTACTGTGTATTTGCCAAAACATTAAAAAAGGCATTTAGAAATAGCCAAAGAATTTAATTTACATTTTACCAAAGATATGAATAAGTGCAATTTTAATTGTTTTTATTTTTATTAAAAAAACACATAAATAGTACAGTACTTCTCATGTTTCATTTGCGCCGCATTTAATAGTTGACTTGTTTGGATAAAAAAAAATATTGCGCACAAAATGAAGCAACTACGTAACAGTAATAAATAAAATTGTTTTCATTTTCCATGGTATATAAAAAAATATTTATCTATACATTTTCAGCCACTCAAACTTTGTATGTTTCAACGCAATTATTGATAAAAATGAAATATTTTTGTGCATGTATAGTGCGCTTTTCTCTCTGATTGTACATAATACTTAATAATATGTATGTAAGAATAAATGTAAATTTTATAAAGAGTTTTAACTTTTTTCCTGATCATTTGTAATTTAATCACGTTCTTGTAACACAATTGACGCAAATAATTACACATTGAATAAAACCAATTTTATGTACATTTAATTTTTACTAAATTTGCGACGATTTTTGGTCACATTGAGACTGAGGTGCTCAACGTCTTGATATTATAGTTATATTTAATGTTTAGTACGATCTATGTAGATCAAGCTTACCGTACCTTGAAATCTAGAGGTGGGTCTACGCTACGGGTCGAGCACGAGCGGAGCGTGAGCCGAGCACAAATTCATGTCGTGTGGACCGACTTACAAACCTCAAACAAGCGCGTTTCGAGCGTTTGGTTCGTGCTCAACTGCGGTCCGCCTATTGTAGGTTTTTTGACGAACACAAAGGGATTTATATCGCATATATCTATTTGCATGTTGTAGGCTCGTTGTACGTCCACACTTGACACCACGATTGAGACAACTTAGCTTGTATTCGGCTCCTCTGGCATAGACTTGCCTTAGCACTGGTATAGGTTTCCGTACCTTGTACCTTCAACAGGAAGACCCAGGCGACGTCTAGTCCATGCAAAGTTGTATCTTTGTTTTCTCTCTTGTGGCGCGACGACAGCGCTGCCACAACACTAAATAAAAATAAAATTTTGTACCATAGAATCTATATCGACCACTGCAGTGGTAGGAACAAAGATGGCAGTTATACTTTTAAATATTACTAAAACTGCCCAGTTAAACCGCTCTTATTGGACAAACAAAAAAGCAACAAAACAAAAAAAAAATATTGCAACGTGTACCATTTAATAAAAAATTAGAATCGATCCAGTTTTGAATTTGACGATTTCATAAATTTTTCATTGTTATAATAAGTTTGAGATCATAGAAATATATAAAAAAATATATTTTTTCTTATATCTATGGTTTGAGTACAGCTATCTCTTTCGGTTGACTAACTCGGTCGTTTAAACACAGCGCGACGTGAAATTTCTTGCACCCCGGATCACAGAATAAATAACAGTAATACGTACAAATATCCTCTTAAGTATTCCGTGGCTTGGGATTAAATTAAATTTTGTTAATTATAGGAATCCGAGCACAGAGTACATAGCTACCATTTCTGAAATTGGGTTGTCTTCTAATTTTAATAGGTTCACGAACTATAGAGAATTTGTGACTTATCAAATCTGATCTAATGATGTAGATATAATTGAACTTTTTATGTACTTGGAAGTACGTAGCTGTCATATATCACAAACAGAAAAAGCTAAAGGTACTTTTTGGGGGCATACCCAACTCGCTGGAGCAAGGACGGGTTATGTCGGACTTGCACCGATGTTTTACCTTCGCTACATATAGGCAGGGCCGCTACACAAACTAGCGCTAGCAGTAAGATGCTTTACCTTCGCCGAACATAGGCAGTGCTACCGCAGATATCAGCGGCATTGGATCTTTCTCAGGAGAGTGAAAAATCTGTATTATCTTCTCTGACTAAGAGCGCCGGAAAACAGGAACGCCTTACACGGACTCGATCTCCACCCCCGCAACGAAAACCTCCCCTCCTCCAAAGTCTGTTATGTGGAGGACATGGGATCAGTAAAAACGAGCAACCGAAGGCACTAACTCTCTCCGCCGCCTCCGATCACGAATTTGCCGCGGTGGGCAGAGAATACGGCGAATCACAATACCAACATTTGTCTTCCCCCGCAGCCTTACTACCACCACTATAGCTGGGTGACAATGTCGTTGTAGATAGCATAGGTTGACTATGATATCAGAACTATGAATACACAAATCTTGCCGTGACCCTGGCTGTTGAAAAGAAAATTAAACATCTAGAATTAAAAATGAGAAGAATAATCCTTCTTCTTTTGCCTGTAAGACGCCACAGTTAGTCTCTACTGTTGTAGAGAATATTTGAC